CTAGGGATCGAGCCCTGGGATCTACCTCAGCTACCACGAATTGGTGAATACCGTTTCAGATTGCACAATCACATTGAAAGCCAAATCGTATCACAGTGTTCAGAAAGCAGCATTGCACCAATATAACACCAATGGAGAATCGTAGCACTGAAAGTCAATGTCAATGAGAGCTTGCTCTCGCCACCACCAACATATGTATCCAGTCTCTATCTCCCTACTTGGCGCTCGGCGCCCAGCCTACTCCCTACACAGCTACTACTAGCCTAGTAATTGACAATGCACCTGTTGACGTCAGCAGCCTCCAAAGTACTTGAAGATGTCGCCCATGCAGACCATCGCCAATACCAGGTATGTGCCCTCACATCATCATCATCATCATCCTTCTCTCTCTCTCTCTCCGTTGTCTCTCTCCCACGTCTTCCCTTTGTACACTCGAAGACCACCCCTGCGCCTCACTGTACATCCAAGCCCGCCAGCTATGGAGGCTGGGCTATGGCGCTGCCCTCAGCAGCGCCCTGCTCCCCTGCACGACCGCACGTGCTAGCACCTCGCCTCTCAGCGCTAGCAGCAGCCCATGAGCTTCAGCTCCAGCAGCACTGCCGCCAGCATGCGAGTGCCCGAATGAGGCTCCAGGCAGCAAGCTCTTTCCTATATGGAAAGAGTCTGCCTGCCTTCGCAGCCTGGCTGGCCTGGGCCTGGGCCCAGAAGCTTCCGGTAGGCCCCAGGATGCTGCGCCTCCGGTGCAGCTACTGGGCCTCATTCCGTTGGGCCCCTCAACTGTCTGTGTATGAGGCTGCAAATCTCGCCCAGGGCCTGCACTTTCGGAAAAGCCTAGAAGGCCGTGGGATTTCCTTGCTGCTCGGCCTGTGTTTCCCCAACCAACTGGCGTGACGAAACTGCCTGGACCCCAAATACGAATTTGACAGCTTAGGGCCTCTGGCGATTTGTTAGGCCCGCCTTCACTTAGGGCGGACACATTTGTTGCAGGGGGGCCCTTAGGCCTGCTGAGGACCCATATCCTCGCAGGAGGAGAAAAGGAGGAGGAGTTTGCTTGGCGAGAGGAAGGGGATTATCATTGGTCTTTGCTGGTGTACATCTTCTTCTTCTTCTTCTTCTTCTTCTTCTTCTTCTTCTTCTTCTTCTTCTTCTTCTTCTTCTTCTTCTTCTTCTTCTTTCCCTCTCTCTCCTCTCAAGTTCATCCATTTCTTTTGCAATTGTACAGCATTGTGCTTTCTCGTGATTTTGCACTTCGAAATTGGTCAGGATCATAACACCAGGATAGAATGAAGGAAGGGGGAAGTCAGCAGAGAGTAGGTGAATCTGGAAAAAGACTGTGACGAGAGGAGAGATAGTCAGATGGTGGGTGAAGGTGGTTGGAGGGTAGTGGCTTGTGAGACCTTTCCTTCACACCTGCTTGTTTTTGACGATTTGCGAGAACGTGTTGAGGGCTTCCGTATACAGCCCATTCGTATGGTACTGATGAGCTAGATTGAAACTGACAGCATACGTCAGGTCGATGCTTATTTGATCACCCTGATCATAGGCAAGACACCACAGCATGGCACATCACAGCACATCACAGCACAGAACAGCACAGCATAGAAAAAGCCAGGAGAAAGGTCATCAGGGACAGAGCTGAAGGGGCACAGTCAAACGTTGGTTGCTTTGGACTTCCAACTCTTTAGCAAAGTATCTCACAAGTTCACACGCCTTCCCACGTCCATGCAAGTCACACTCGTCAGACAAAGCTTCACAAGTGAGACATGAGATGCATGCGAGGTAAGACGCTTTGACTTATTTTTGAAGATCAAAATATTTCGGACACAAAAAAGTCACGGCTTATGTACACCGGTAGCCACATCCTCAAGGTACCTCACGCCCTCTCTCTCTCTCTCCCTCTCAGCCTTTCTACTATGGTTCTTCTTCCTCTCTGATTGTCTTCTTCACTTCTTTCTCTCTCTCTCCCTCTCAGCCTTTCTACTAAGGTTCTTCTTCCTCTCTGATTGTCTTCTTCACTCCTCTCTCTCTCTCTCCCCCTCTCAGCCTTTCTACTATGGTTCTTCTTCCTCTCTGATTGTCTTCTTCACTTCTCTCTCTCTCTTTCTCTCTCTCTCTCTCTCTCTCTCTCTCTCTCTCTCTCTCTCTCTCTCTCTCTCTCTCTCTCTCTCTCTCTCTCT